GGTTGTTCCTGCTGCTGGAAGTGGGGAAGGAATATCCACTGTATTGTATTACTCCAATAATAAATCTACAGTGGCACTCCCAAGATTAAATCAGCCGATTCTACTAACGCAGGGAGTTGAATGCCGTCCGTTTGCTGAGAGCAGCAGCTTGGAAACTGATCTACATGGAAACGTGCAGCATAAAGGCTGTCTGCATACAAATGTAAATATATGCGTTGTGAAAATAAATGCAACTGTATGCACAGAGGTGATTAGCTGAGAAATTTGAGGAGATTCAAAATGAATTTAATAGATATTGCAAGTTGGACAGCAACGTGAAGTTTGTTTAAACTCAAGGTCCATCAAATTTATAAAGGAATGGAGCTTAATGTCGCAAAGTATTGCTTTCTCTTTTTGGAGCAAACTCTTCTTGCTACACAAGGGGATGTTGCTTATTAAGAAGTGTTTTGAGGGGCAGATTAATATACAGACTGACACACATTTGGCAGCAACAATGCACCTTTAAGGTAGTCTGCCAACATTAATGAAATTCAGAAAAGGAGACAATATAAGAACAGAGGGACCGGTTCATGCTGGAAGCAAGAAAGTGAAGTTGAAGTACTGCAAGGAAACTTAAGAAATTTGTGTTTATAATCAGTTGTCGCGTCTTTAAAGTAGAGCTTTTATTTTAAGATGGAGTGGTTTCTGTAGCAACATTTCAACTGTCAATCATATACTCATGATAAAAGACAAGTGGTTGCTTAACATGGCGGGTGTTACTTTGGCGTAGCATCAGGAAGTCTGCTTCCTTTACAGAAACTAAACAACAACATTTATCTAGATACACTAAAGCCCTGTGATCAGAGACACCATGAGAAATCATCTGGTGGCTGGATTTGGATGAGTTTTTAAAGCTCAGATGAAAAAAAATATTAGTAGCGCAAAGGCTAAAATAGATATTCTGTTAACTACGATTCTTCTTTAAGAGCAATTGGAATTGCGGGGGAAAAGAAATTGTAATTTTTACAAAAAGCCACATCTTGGATTCTCTCCTGGCTTTCACAAAGGAAACATCCATGCAAGCCAAACGAAACTGGGTGGAGATGCCTGCAGGAATTCGATGGAGATATGTTAAACATAACACACATCATGCTGCAGATTATTTTGATTGCATACAGACACACAGGTGTGCTCGCAAGAATTCCCCCAGAAGCATGTGTAGAAAATAAATTCTCGTAAACCCCCACAGGAATCACGACATTTTATTGCCAATGTATATAGGCTGGTGTTTGACAGCTCCTCCTTTTTCATGCGAATATTTGATCTATTTTTGCAGGCCTCTGATGGTACATTATTTATCGTCAGGGATACAAAGATTATATTCCAAATATTAATGCGCCTTTGTACTTACGAGCTTAAAAAAAATGGATTCATTGAAGAGTGAACAATGGATCTGTATAATATTAGAGTTTCACTTCTGAAATGAGTGGCAAAATATATTCAACTCGTCTTTCTAACCTTTGGTGGAAGAGAAGCATTTTCTCCCAGTCTGTGAATAAATACCCTTTTGATTAAAAAAAAAAAAGTTATTACTAAACATTCACACATGCCGTGACACACGCTGCTTTCCTCACTGCACTTTTATGAGCAGAACGTGTTTGCTCAGCAACTCCACGTCTTTTAAGTAAGTACATTTTTGCCATGTTATGCATCAGCCACAGTGGGTCTGCCCAGGGGGGCATTTTAATGGGTTGCAACGATTCAACTAAGCAGGATTTACCATGTAAAACGCGGCGTGATAAGTAGCAGCAGCAGCAGCACAATAAATCACAGACATTAAGGACGACGTTTCCTCGACTGGTTGTAGCGGGCTGCAAGCATGTTTCACTGTTGGTTAGCTTATTCGTTCACTGTTGCTTACTGCCTGTATATTTCATCAAACACTTTGTCACATGCATACAACCCAAGATCTGCTATTGATTAGATTTGAAGTACTTTGGGACGCAAGTTATATGTAAGTTTTTAAGGCTACAAAAGTTTCCAAGTGAAAACTTGGTAGGTTTTGAAGAAAGCTTTCCAACAAAAATATAATTTTTTTTCCCATGATACAACCCCAGGTTTAAATTCAAAATTTTAAAAGACATTTCTTCAAAAAGCAGAAAAAAAGGCTGTTGACTCTTCCAGTAATTGTCACCATTTGTGTACTTTATCACATTTTCCTAATTACAGCAGGTGTGGGAACTCGTGAATAATTCACGGTGTTTCAGTGGCTGCTATATAAAGCTGTAATGACGAGAAGTCAATATAAAAAAACCCCGTCTGCGTACCTGAAGTTGTGCATGAACTGTTTGAACTTATCGGCTCGTCTCGAGAGCGGGACGATGATGTTAATCATGACATCGGTTGTGTCCATCCTTTCATTCTTGACCTTCATCAGAGGTCCGAAGGGTCGGAAGAGGACCAGACGTCTGAATTCGTGACTCGCCTCCCCTCTGAAGGTCAGCTCGTACAGCGTCCCTTTGTCCCTCTCTGTACGACTGATACCTAATGGAGAAGAGATGAACTTATGACCAAACATGCATAAAATGCGATAATGTTAGTGTATGAATTAAAGGAACATAAGAAGCACTTATCAGTTATTTATCTTATTTTCAACAATAAAAAAATGGCAAATTTCTCCAAAATATGAATCCCTTGACTAAAATAGTAATTTTACTACAAGTTCTGGATAAAACAGAAAAAAAAACTGAGGTCTTGCTTGTTAAGGTTCAACCAAGAGAAGAAAAAAAAAAAGATTTTAAAACATATTTAAAATGCATTTAGTCACCTCAAACAAAAGTTGTTTGCAATTCGTCAGACAGGATTTGGCAAATTTTTTTTTTCCTTTCTGTAGGTGTTAATTCATATATTTAACTCTGCTGCTCTAACCACAAATGTATTTCCTTTCAAATGTGACACCATTTAAGGAGAAATGCACAAAAATAATTATCACAACGAAGAAAAAATTGAGCAATTTTGTGCCCTGCTTAATTTAAAGACAGTAACGATGCAGTTTTTTTTTGTTGTTTTTTTTACCCACAGCATGACTAAACCTTTATGAATAAATTCTGTGTCATACTGTGACATTTTTTCTTTCCAAACATACAAATCTAATGAGGACACATGAGATGTTGTCCAGTCGCTCTGCTGTTTTTTTTTTTGGCAAAGAGCCACAACATGCAACACTGAGGCACTTTCAGACAGAGAGGCTATTTTTGTAATATGCGCTAACATTCTTGTTACGGGCTTTACGTCAGCTGCCTCCCCATGAGGAAAGATGTTTTCCAATTTTTCTGCCTTTACAAAGATTTTTACTTGCCAGCAGACCTGATGAGATCACTTAGCAAAGAGAGAAAAGCGAAACCTAATAAAGAAAAAAATGGGAAGTGGGGCCAGACAGAAGTGAATCAGATAGGAAGTAGGACTGAAAAGAGAATATGACATACCAGTGAAAAATGACGGACTATTTGAGGATGATGGATATGAGGAGCAGTACAATAGAGGGGTTTCTATGGGCAAAGATAGACAGCGCTGATAGCAGCCCGAATTAAATGGTGCTAAATTGGCGAGCTTCCTGTGATCGGGGGCCTCGTTTCCCAGAGGGACACGATGAGCTTTCATTTAGTGCATTTGCCGAACAATTTAGGGTAAAAGCCTTCACTTCCTGTCTTCTGTCTCAGAGCAATTTTCTGTCTCTTTTGGAGGCCTTAGTGGCTGAATGGCTCATTTTGCAAACCTTTATTGCTTGTGTTTAGCTTCCAGTCACTGGTTTGTTAATGCGGCTTTAAATCTCTGGAAAAATGCTGATGCCATTCTCTTCTTCTTGGCTGGCTTCAATTTAGATAAGAACTGCTTCTTCAAGATGTAATGCAATTGATGGGCATTAGGGAGAATTAAAATATGTCTAGCAGAGAACTGCCAAGTCACAAGAAGCAGGCAGCGTGGTCCAACTCCAGACAACATGGGAGCTATTCTGAAAACGCACACAGATACATTAAGGAGTATATGCGCAAAGAAATCCAGTGATGACCGGAGTGAGATTACTTTGTGCTCATCCTTGGCCTTTCTGATCGGCAAGTCCAGTTCGACCAGGTTGTGCGGACAACAAAACAATTTCATTGTGGAAGTTACTGAAGTTAGCATCTTTCAGGAGTTAAAATTATAAAATGAGGAAGGAGTACCAAAAGTGAAAGATGCTTCTAAAAACTGAAAGTTGGACATCAGCAGATAACGAGAAGCCACACATGTCCTTTTCTTGGATTAGGAAGTGTTTGCACTTTTGGAAAACCTCAGAGCTAGGAACCGATTGGACATGAGATTCTTTTTAGAATGATAACCTTGAGTAAAAATGTTAAACATGTACAACATGGTTGAATCGACATTAAACATGTCTTTATCTGGACTGAATTGATTATATATTTCTGTATATAAACTCAGTCTATTTATTCTGTAAAGTGCCTTAATGTAGCATTTGTTGTGACTGTGGAACATAAATAAGCTTAACAGAGTTGCTTTAAAAAAATACAAAAATTATTCCTTTCTGTGACCACAATTATCCACACACCTTTGAGTATGTCATCATGACAGCTGATGTTTTTATTTGCAATATGAAATCTTCCAGCTACTGTTATAATCCCATAGTTAACGATCCTGTTAGCAAACTTAAGTCTTTTTTTTATTATTATTTTTTAAATTTACCAACATGTTTCTTCAGAGAGAAATTAATATTCAAGTCTATGGCTGGTCAACTCCAAAAAAATCAATTTGAATCCCCCTGCATACCCGTAGGTAGCCCTGCATTGCAATGCATAAAACACCAATAGCATGTTCTAGAGAGCATCTAATGAAAAATGTACCTCAATATACCTTGATGCAGGTAATTCAAATTCAAAAATACTTTATTGATCCCAAAGGGAAACTAAATTAATTTAATCAGTCCCTCGCTAGTCAAAGTTGAGAGAAGAGTGTACCAATTCTACATGAAGTACATTAATGGGAATGGCAGGAATGCTACATCTTTAATATTCCCACTAATGGTGGTAATTGCAAATATAACATGGTAAATAGTTTAAGAGGTCTAATTTCTAATAAACTTGTTTTAAAATAACAGAATCCCGTTATGCTGAAGTCATGGCTGTATAACACTGACTGCTCGCAGGCACACACACGCACAAACAAACACACACACGCGAACACACGCAGTCGCACACTTCCAGTTTGAATGAAGAGCAGCTGTGCTTATTTCCTGCGGTTTTGATCTGAGCTGAGCTGCGCAAACTAAGGGGATATCCTGGCAGCACTTCTGCACAAACACACTCAGATTTATGACCTTCCAGGAATATGCAGTGCCAGTTAGAGGGACAAAAAGGAAAAAAAAAAAGAAGAAGCAGAGCTCTTGTGCTAAGATGCTTCCTGAGTTATCTGATCTCAAACAGATGCAGATGTCTACTTGAATGCGTGTGTGGGCACTCAGGATGGACTGGATGTATTCAACTCCTATTGCTCAGCTCGTTTTGAGGCACTCTGGCCATATTCTTACAAAGTGAATGCCAATCTGCCCCCGGGCATGTTGAAAGACCCCCTACTTCCTCTGACGTGTCTCCATTCATGCTGCCGAGTTTTCACAAGGACGTTTTTG